GCTGTCCGCTAAGGCATAGGACACACAGGCTTTCCTCCTCACCAACGACAATAAACACGGTGTCTACACCGGACGCGAGCGGCAAAATACATAACACTCCAAAGAGAAAGGAAAAGTTGAAATCGCATCATATGACCCCTTTAAGCAGCACAACTATTTTCAACACTGATAATAATAATAAATATTTCTTGAGCAGCAAATCAACATATTAGAATGATTTCTGAAGGATCATGTGACACTGAAGACTGGAAACACTGAATGCTGAAAATTCAGCTTTGACATCAGATTTTAAATATATTAAATATATTTTAAATTGTAGTAATATTTAATATTACATGTATTACTGTATTCTGGATCAAATAAATGCAGCCATGAGGAGTGTAAGAGACTTCTTTCAAAAACATTTTACAGACTCCAAACCTTTGAACCATAGTGTATATGAAGGTTATTTAATCACATGCTATTTTTTATCATCTTTTATTTGTAATGTAATATCTCCAATAAAAACTATGAAAAAATGTTTTCAAAAGTCTTTTATCAGCCAAATAAAAAAAATCTGCACTAGGAATTAAAACCATCACAGTCCAATTAAATATGTTTCATAAAGAGTGGACTCTGGAATGAGGATCACTTGCCAGTTACAACTACTTACTAGAAGTGGCTCAGGAATAGTTAATTAGCCAGGTTGAATAGTGAATTTATTTTCAAATGTTTTATTTAACTCTTAATATTTTGCATGGAAGTGATACAAAGGGCATGAATTTAGAGATATAACTTTTCAAAGAGGCTTTTCGAATTCTGTGCTTTAAGAAGTTGCATCTCTGAAGTCTAAAGCCCTTTAAAATACTTGTGTAACAAACTCACTGCTTGCTATGAGCAATGTGAGGACTTTGGTGCAATAAAAACTAAAGATATTAAATGCTGGTCTATGTGCTGCACATGCAGACAATGCCTAATAGTGTCTTATGTCATGAGAATTGGGTTTTTAAAACAACAAACAATGTAAAGTAATATTATTAAAAATGCGTATGTAATAATAATAATAATACACAGATTTGCTCATTTGTACTATTTACAAATGACAGGCTAAGTGATTTGATTTATGCATTTATGAAAAAGCATACAACTATCAAAACCTAATCATTGCAATGGATAGAAAGCTCTGATTATCCTAATAACACAGCAGTAACAGATGGTTTTATTTCTCTTGTTGACTATATCAATCCACATTCACTGTCTGTTCACACCTCTCTAGATAATCAGCTCTAGGAGGGGGGTAATTTGAGTCAGCTGTTCCAGCCTATTAAATGGCAATTAAGAATGAATTTGAGGGGTCCGTCCCTATAAACAGTTTCCGTCTGTCGCCATCTAACAGTACGCAGACCTAAATGACTAGTTCCTTCAGTGTTATCTGCCTAATCTAGCTAAAACAAAGAGGAAAATCTAGTACTACAGAGAATTATTAGTCCACTGTGTGCATGTAAAGTACAAACCTCATACGCCTGTGGGCTGGTGAGGCAACGTGCCAGAGGGCCACAGCAGGCTGGAAGTGTGGCAGTGAGCGGTGGGCCACTGTGGGTCAGAATGGGCTTTAGATAACTGCAAGTCAACAGGGTTAAGGTTTTGCACGATTTTTCATTTTATGAGATGATGTCATGATGCACATGTAAACAAATATGTGAATCGGATTGCATTTGCAACATTTAGGTTTCATATAAACAGAACCGACATCTGAATGACACATTTGTGCGTGTAAACATACCTATTGTAGCACACTGCTTAGCATGTCAAATTTAAAGTTGGAGAACTGGATTGGTGTTTTACTCCCATCTTGTTCTTTATGCAGGTTACTAATAAGAGCTACACAGCAAAGGATACTTGTGATCAAAGTTGTACCAGATCCTGAAGAACCAGACGCTCTCCTGTTTAGTGCTCCTCCTCTCCACTCCATCAGGGCCGATCTGCAGACGGACACAGAGGAAATCCATCATTAAACAGCTCTGCTCTAAAAAGCCACTGTACTTTTGTCTACAGCAGACCAAAAACACTTACAAAGTTCTCCTGATCTGTGTCTACTCCAACACTGCCAAACACAAAACAGCATTACAGCAAATGTAAAAAAAACACTTGTGATGCACAAAGGATGCAAATAAGAACAAAAGCCATGTTTAATGAGTTCCCCATTCCCATAGTCCACTTGTGTGACACAAAAAGCTCATTCAGACTAAAAGTGAGGTTTAAACTAACCGGATTTTCTGGCAGGACAGCATCTGAGTTGTGCCTCCACCGCAGATCCAAACGGTGAAGAAGACCACCAGCAGCGTGGTGGAGAACATCATCTGCCGCGCATACGTGGCCGTGTCCCTGATTGACAAGGCAAAGGTCATGGCGCCACGAAGACCTGGCGAGGAGTGGGGCAAGAACACCAAAAATTGGTTCACACAGACCATAAATCTGACTTGTTTTTCCAATCTGATCTGTCCACAGTGTGATTCTGCAAGTTATGAAATCCGATCCATTTGGTCAGACAGTGGAGTCAAAACCCAGTTAATCTACATTAGAAATTACTTATACATCAATACAACGGCAAGAGATGTAAGAGAGTCAGTGTGGAAAACTGAAAAAATTTGCAAAAAAATGTTTTTGAACAAAAACAAACCCAACAACAATGGGTTCAAGTCCATTTAACCTTAACTTTTGGTTTTGGCATGTCATTCTTCATAGTTTGGATCTTAGCTGACCATAGGAATCACCTGCAGCTTTACGCACAAACCTGCAAACATCATCATGTGCTGGAAGTTGGAGCTGATCTTGTATTTACGGCCCAAGTTCAACAGGAAGGAGAGGGGGTAGATGTTCGCCGCTCTGCCCAGAAACACAGCCAGCTGGGAGGAGAGGTGTCAAGGCATGACTGCAAAAATGGAGCTACCGCTGCACTGACAGCATCTACACCCTCTCTAGACATTTAGTCCTTCCTGAGGCCTTCAGAGGGCTCTGTTCATGAAAAAGTGGTTCTGGGCAATTGATTTCTGGGAAACACAATGAGCTGTAACTCCCTGGACATATCACTCAACAACAACAGCCTGCCACTTTCTGGATGACATTAAGCAAAGTACTGCCACCCAACATAAACACACACACATGCTTTTTTAATAATAGAAATCCATCAGATTTTCCACTTGTTTTGCATTTGCTAAGAGCATTTTACCATTCTACCATTTTTTTCTGTTTATTTATTCTTTAGACACAAAACTGAATTTCACATAGTCTCAGGATACGAATGCGCCCACTATGAAGATTGGGTTGAAGACGTGGTTCTTGAAGGTAAACAATGTCAAGCCCATGTAGGAAAATATGAAGTTCTCAGCCAGAAAATTCAGAAGCTCGAATAACTGAAAGAGAGCACAATGACAAGAAATCATAGTGAGATGTTTATATTATGTATATTTCATATTCCATAAACCAAAAAGAAATTTGGACTTTGGAGTAGTTCAGCAAAGCTGCTCAGCAGTTTTTAATAGTTAAAGCATTACTAGGGTAAATGAAAGAAAATCATAATCATGTTGCAATGGCAGTCATGTCACATGAAATTGAGTCATCAGTGTCCCAACACTTATTAGAACAAGGCCCTTGCTAGTGCCTAGAGTGTCTTCTGTATATACACTGTTTAAAATTTGGGAAAATTTTTTTTGAAAGAAATTAATACTTTTATTCAGGAATGACACATTAAATTAATCAAAAGTGACAGTACAGACATTTATAATATATATAATGTTAAGAAATCTATTTCAAATAAACATTGTTCTTTTGAATTTTCTATTCATCAAAAGATCCTAAAAAAATATCATGGTTTTCCACAAAATTTTAAGCAGCACAACTGTTTGATAATAATAACAAATGTGTCTTGATGTGACGCTGAAGACTGGAGTAATGACTGGCATAAATTACATTTTAAGTTCTTTTAAATTTTAACGATATTTCACAATATTGCTGTTTTACTGTATTTGTAATCAAATAAATGCAGCCTTGGTGAGCAATGGTGAAAAAAATCTTACCGACCCCAAAGCGTTTAATGTTAGTGTACATCATACACAATAGGGAGTGGAATAAAAGCTTAAATACTTACTTGTTTTGTCCTGTCCTGAGATTCAGGAGACAGATTGTTAAAGGTGTAATGGGCCTGTGTCATTCCACAGAACAGAACCGCCACCACACCTGAGAAACACAGCAAGAAGAGTAAAAACATGCATTCATTTATACAATAGTTTACGATATGTTTCTAGGTAGTTTTAGAAGACTCAGTGGGTGTCTCACGCTCACCTGTAAATCCACATGCCTCGGCCAGTAGGAATGTGCTCCAGGACATGAGGAAGAACAGTGCCGTCTCCAGCAATGGAAAGTCCCTAAGCTTAGTGAACTTCGTAACGTGAAAAGGAGTCAACGAAAATTACTTTGGGATGAAGAAACTACTAATTAACATTAGTAGTGACAATCAAATAGAAAGAAGAATGAGATCTATGCATGCCACAGGTTATATTCAAACACATCCCATTTCATAAGTCACCACGGTCATACAAATGTGTTATAACAAAAATAAGCGCCATACAATATTGAACCAGTATAGGATATCAATGCAGTTACGACTCCAGTTGCCACTCCAAGAGCAAAAGAACCACTGAAGACCCCCAGGAAGATGCCAAATGACTTCAGCATGGCCATGGCTTCAAACGTGTGGCTGTTGTCTCCTTCAGGCTGATATCCAACAATTGACCTGGAAAAAGAACACAGATACATTCACACACACTCATACATTGTATGATACTAACATATGAAAGTAATTCTAATGTCAGAAATTTAAAAGGGTAAAGAATTTTAAAGAAAGAGATTTCTCTGTTCTTCTTTTTTGCAATAATGCAACAGATCCATTTGCTATTGGAAAACCATAACAAACATTAACATTATGAGCAGGACTGGAAAATGTGCTAATGTTTAGGTAACATCTGAACTCTGACACATTAGTATCAGATAAGTGTGCTCAGCAGAGATATTCAATTTATTTTCTATTTCCCAGTCTCTGCACTGTTTTCTTAAAGAGGTCATATTATACATATTCTATCATCTATTTTTTCCCCTGAGGTCCATAATGTCAGCAAGGTTTCTGTGCAATTTAGTTTTTCCAACCCATCTCTGAAAATGTGGAATCGTTAAAATCAGACTAAAATGATTGGGAACTTTATTGAAAAAAAAACTAATGTTGGTATATGCCAAACACCTTCCCATATTCTGCTCTTATAGCTTAGGAGTCGTTGTTTTTTGCAGCTTAATTTAAATACATATTTTTCCATGTATTAGGATAGAAATGAAGTTCTGAAAGACCGAGGAAGATTTGATTCCTCATGATATGACCCCTTTAATTAGTACCTGATGTCCAAATGGTGTGCTCAAATTATTAAATGACATTTTTAGCATTTAGGATAGGCAGGAACAAGAGAAAACTTTCTAGAGGACCACAGTATCACTTCAAACTATGAAGCAAATGGCTATCATCCAATCAGCAAATACCCACAGCTCTGCCCCATCCACACCTTCCATAACCGTGATGCTAATGAACTTCAGAATTCCCCTACAGGTAGTTCAAATAAAGTAGAAAGGGATTCTTGTTCTTTGAGGAATGAGGCGCTACTCAGATCTTTCTTTAGCTTCATTACAGGTGCTGGTGTGAAGCATATCTGTGGGTCATTTACTCGGCATGTTCTGGTAAAGACCAGTCAATGCACACACTAAAAATCCACTCTGCAGGCTCAAAGCTAAATGTGCAGCACACCCATTGATGGGCGTTCTCAGTGTCTGGTTCCCGCCCTCTGTATAAGCCACACCTCTAGGGCTGTGATGCCCCGCCCCACTTTGCCTTCCGTAATAAAGCAGCATGCTGGAGCAGATGAAAGGTCCAGCAGAGAAAGAATCGGATGTTAAATGAAAAGTGTTAATTATTCGTTCTGCATTGTGTTTATAAAAACCCAAAACAGTTATATCTCAAAATCAATAATATTAGTGAATTTTAAAAAAGCAGTTTGTATATATAGCAGTGTATAATCATGAGAAGTAGAGGACTTACGAGGACAGTACGACAGCGACGGCATCATTCAGAACACTTTCTCCAAACAGCAGAGCGTACAAGTCAGCATCCACCTGCAGCTCATTGAAGATGGCCAGAACTGTCACTACAAAACAAAACAAAACACAAATCAACCTTCTGCTAAGCCCCGCCTTAACAAACATTACTGACCAATCCTGCTGTAGCACCTGTTGCAATCTGCCATTTTGTCAGATGTGCTATTCTAATGCAATTTCTAAAGGACGTTCGGAGTGTCTGGATAGTTTTAAACTCAATTTTACATTGAGAATTTTAAAAAATTGGAAAATGTTGCCTGGGCATAATAATGGCACAAGGTACCAAAAGAGGATACACATGGAAATTTAAAGTTCACTGTATGCATTTTTTAATCATGTTACTGCATATTTTAACAATGGCAGATAAAATATTTGAAATGTCACAATTGATTCCATTCCATGCGAGAATAACATCCATTCAATACAGGAACACATTTTACTGAAATTTGTGTTGGTAATGTCATTTTCAAATGTATTCCTGTACACAGGGACATCCTGTACGGCTTGGAAAGTGGTCAATTCCAGACAACAAATGACTTTGATATGCAACTTAATTATAATCATTTCCTAAAATAGCACTAGACCTCAGAAAGTGCAGATGAATTCTGCTAGAGCAAAAAAAATAATAATAATCTAGGCTTAGTTTAGAAATTCCATAGCACATCCCTCTTGCAAAAAAAATCTAAAGACATATATATACATCATTTTCCAAATAAATGTGATTGAAATACACCTTAAAACACCCATGATTGCATTTAGGCATTGTTACAGGGACTCTGACTGTAGTACCTGGGTCAGTGGCTGAGACAATGGCACCAAAGAAAAGGCAATCAGTGAAGAAGAAATCACCACCCAGCTGGCCAATTTGCTTCATCAGCATCACACAGCCATACATTAACAACCTGAAAAACAAACCGCACACCTCTGAACGCTGGTTCTCACCCTCATCGCTGGAGCAACCTCTTGAAAAAGCACTGACAAAAGACATTGTGTGCACTGACCCAATGATGAAACAAGACACCACGGTTCCCACAAACGCGTAGGCAAGAATGGAGCCCAAGTTCCTGAAGAAATGTCTCTGAAACACAGACAGAAGAATTTCAATGAATAATGAGCTTTGATTTATCTACGGTGAGCATTACATCATCTTGTGCACACAACATCTGGTCTGTATTAATGAATATAATTTTTTTTTTTTTAAAACAGCTCTTACTCGTTTTAAACTGTATCCAGCATGAAAAATTATGGGAGGCAAGAGAATATTGAAGAAGACCTCTGGGTCAAAGGTCACCTGAAACAGAATTAGAATGATACAGTTACTGACATTTTATTCACCTTTTATAAAATGAGAAGAGGTTTTAAAAATTGCACTACTGTTCAAAAGTTTGGGGTCGGTAAGATTTTATATATTTTTTTATGTTTTCAATTAAATCTATTATGCTCACCAAGGCTGCATTAATTTGATAAAAAATACAGTAAAACCAGTACTATTATGAAATATGATTACAATTTTTATTTGAATATATCTTAAAATGCAATTTATTCCTGTAATGACAAAGCTGAATTGTCAGCATCATTACTCCAGTCTTCAGTGTCACATGATCCTTCAGAAATCATTCTAATATGCAGATTTGCTGCTCAAGAAAAAATTATTATTAATATCAATGTTAAAAACAGTTGTGCTGCTTAATATTTTTGAAGGTTCAAAAGAACTGGATTTATTTGTAATTTGACAATCTTTTGTAACATTGTCACTAACAGCTTTGATCAATTTAATGTGCCCTTGCTAAATAAAAGTATTTCTTTCTAAACGGATATTATGTTTTTTTAAAATCTGAGCTATATCCTCTCATCAGTGGTTTGACTGGAGACAATTTGGGGCAATCAAGTCTAAATTTAGTTTAACAGGGTTCAAGGGTTAAATAAGACTCATTTTATGCACATTAAAATGTATTTGAAACCTAAATTATGCCATTTTTAAACCTCAATGTTTTATCTGAGATAGAAGCAGTTATGTTTCATGCATCTGTCGTGTGAAGGGTATGTTCAGAAAATTACTGTTTAGAAACCAACCAACCACAGATTACTTCTATCAGGCACTGAATTAGTATGTGTGAGTTTCTGTGTTGAAATTAAATTATTGGAACAAAGTTAAACCAGGAATTTGTTTGAAACGTCTAGCGAACACAACTGAGTTTTAGCAAAACAGACTGGCTATCAATCTAAAAACAGATGCAAGTATGAGTCATATTCAAATCAATTCTGAGTTCCCCAAACTTTTGTGGTTGAAGTCCAGCATCTGAATCTGTGTTGTAGGTCAAACGGCTGCTGTATGAGTTGTGATGTGATATTTTACCTTGCGGAGCATCTCGTTGTCCTGAATGTCATTGACTTCACTTCCACTGATCTCTCCTTTCAGTGTGTACTCATAGAACTTACCACTGACATTCACCAGCAGTGTGGCTGGACTGGCATTGACATTACAGCTCAGTGTAACATTGTTCATGTCGCTGGGTACATGAATAGCATAACGCAAGACAACACCCACAAGCAACCCTGATGAAAGACAGAAACATTGCATTGCAACATTTAATTAAAATGATAAAGCACATTTTAAGTTTCTAAATATTAGTTTAAGTTTTGTTTTTTTTGTCAAACTCTAGTGAGCTGCCTACCTAGACTTACTGTCATCACAAAAGCTGAAGTGATTCAACTCTCAACTCACTCGATTTTTGAAGCATCTGTTTATGTACCATGGTTATTTTTAGTAGCTTATTATAAACTCTAAAACATTTTTTTGTTAACTGAAATAAAGCTGCAATAAAATAAAATATCAGATAAAACAAAACTTTAAAGGAAAATTAGAAGCACAGCTGAAATAAGTGTAAGTTGAAGCATTAAAATTACTAACTGTAAATGAATAAACAAAAACCTGAAATAAAATTAAATCTCAAGTAAAAATCAAACCAAAACAGTAATATTAAAGAAAACAACAAGAAAAAAAAAAGATAAAATCACATAACAAAATTACAAAAAAATAAATAAGTAATAATAAATAAATTACACTAAAACAAAAATAAATGCTGACAGTATAAAATAAAAGCGGATTTAAAATATGAATAAAACTATAATTTAATCTAATCTATAAACAATATATAGATATAAAAAAATTGTACAACACTTTTGTACACAAGCTCCAGAATAACCCAACTGAGATGTGCTTCATAGACAAGAGGATTTCCAGTTGTAACCGATTGCAAATAACCCTTTAAGTAAAAAAAAAACTCTGTATTAATCTCTTTACAATCAAAAAGGGTTTCCTTAATTTAAGGCTCTAATAATTTTTGAGATGACAACAGCAAAGCTATTGAAATCTTGTGTTTTGAAACAGCCCAGCATATGCAGGAGAAGCAGTGAGGCAGATTAACTCCTGCGGGACAGGCCCTGTTTTCCAGTGCTAAAACTCCCACACTGCCCTTTGAACAGTCATGATCATGCATGGCGTACTTTAATTAACAGATCCCATGCATTTGTAGACTTTATTGCGGTAAGCATGCTGCTGACCACACAGTTCATATGTGCGATCAAAGAGGCAGCAGATGATCACGCCTGTCCTCACCATATATCATTGCCAGTCCCGTCTCGTGCAGAAACCTGAACCGGCGGTGTTTGAACAACCATATGGTCAGGATTGTCAGAGTGAGGAGCAAGATAAAGACCAGCAGATCGGCGCTGTCTTGCCTGTGGCTTTCTTCAGCTTTCTTCTCTGTCACGATGTTCTCCATCGCACTGTCTTCAGCTCGGCACAGGCACGAGCAGAGGGAGCTCGCCAAAACAAACAGAGACAGCCTTCTCCAAATACTCATCGCGGCGTTGATTTCACATGTAGAGCCCATGTTGGCATTTCTTTTACGTGGAAAGACAGAAGAAGCAGAACGCACTATGCTCAGGATCGCTGAACACAGGCAGACGCATTAGCAGATACAATCATAGGCTGCTGTAGATTGTTCCTGATTCCCAGCGAGGCCCCGCCCACTGCGCGTGGCGTCACGTGGACAACCAAACACCGTGTTCGTGCAGTTCATAATGGGCAAACGCTGCGCATAATTGTAGATGTTTTCATTTATTGTGCATCGTCATTGTAGAACATTATCATATGTAATAACAGATATTCCATCATGACAAGTGGGTTCAAATCCCCACTCACTCACATTTTTTTGTGTATTGCAGTAAAACCCTCATGTCTCATTCCACATATTCCTAAACTGTGTGAAACAGGTCAAATTCAGAAGTTACCGAGGGAGAACAGTCATGCATTTGTCACAGATATAACTGAAACCCACACCCTCAGGAAAACAGACACTGTTTCGATCACTATAGGTTCCGTTTTTTTTAAATACATTGTGTAGTTTATTTTCTGTACAACAGTGTAGTTACAGTGAAATAATAAATAAATAAATACATGTTTAGTTTATCCTCTTGAGAACCAGAAGAAAACGTTTTGTGAATTTCGTTTTTTTTTGTGTCATTACATTGGTTGAAGCATAAGAAACAAATGGAGAACAAAAACATTTTTGAAAAATATATTTTATTCATATTTTATTCTATGTCCTTTGTAGAGGACGCCAGAACTAAGTTATTCAAAAATAAATAAATAAATAGACATGAAAGGCATGTATAGGCAAAAACAAAGTGTTTTTTTTGTTGTTGTTTTGTTTTTCATTCACCACTCAGTTTTTAGGATTCAGGCTATTTTTAGTCAAACTTTGTACAAAGATGATTCTCAACTATGTTATGAAAGATATAACAGAATGATTTGATAATAACTAGTAAAGTAATAACTTGGCAACATTTAAGAATATCTCATTACACAAAATAATGTAGCAACATCATATGACCCTTTTAAGAGTGCTAAATTTAATCATTATTATGTCAATATCAGTCATATTCAAAGACCAAGGAGAGGGAGTGTTTAAGGCTATTTTTAGTCAAACTTTGTACAAAGATGATTCTCAACTATGTTATGAAAGATATAACAGAATGATTTGATAATAACTAGTAAAGTAATAACTTGGCAACATTTAAGAATATCTCATATTTCATAGGAATATTGATCTATAATTTCTTTCCCTATTGATTTGTTGCGTCTCCCCAAAATATCTGATTAACATGATGTTTGTCCTGGTGTCCTCTACAGAAAACATGTATGAAAAGTATGCCCTGTTTCATAACAAAAAGTCATATTCTGATTTGAAAACCCATAACATTTTTCTGAGATGTTTATTTACGACAAACAATTTGAAAATTTGCCAGATAAACATTTGATATCTCTAAAAAGCCCTGAATGTGCTCTGTACAGAACATCAATTTCACTAAAACATCATGTCCTCTACAGAGAACAAAAGTCTATGCCTGGGTCCCAGGAGGATATGTTTAAATCAATAGTTTTATTGTATTGTCAGATATTTTAAACAGGCTACAGGTGTTGAGATTAATTTTGAAGTTAAGAATATTTTATTCGTTCATTAAACAAATATGTAAGTGTTATACGTAGAACAAAGAAGATAATACGTTCTGGAAAGATGCACAGCCTTGGATTTTTATTCAAATGAATTTTATATTTCATTGTGGAGACTTTTGTGTTAAAATTAACATTGTAAATTATATGTTAATACCTCACTGTACACAGATAATTATTTTTGTAAATATTCTTCTGTTCTCTTACATTCGCTGTGTCTCTTTAAATGCACGTTTAAAAGTGGCAGTGGGCAACCGGAAGTGCGATTAGTGCGGCGGTGATGACGCAGCGCTCATTGAGGACTGCTTCACGCGCTTCGGCAGTGGCTCGATCGGTTGTGCTCGAGTGAAAATGGCCACGTCCTTCTGGAAAGGTGTTGTCGGTGTAGGCCTTTTCGCCTTGGCACACGCAGCTTTTTCGGCAGCACAGCGTAAGTATCGTTCATCTAGAAGCGGGAGGTAACGGACGGGCATGTTGTTATTCAGTAAGCTGTAGCTGATTGCGGCCCAGCGGTGAGTGCGGCCTCTCTGCGGAGCTCAGTGTGCATGACAGCTTCAGCTGCACTCAAAGCCTAGCGAGGCTGCCTATCTAGACTGAATGTTGGAGAGCGTTCGAACAGAATATTCTGTCCAAGAACGCTGTATAGGTAGGCAGCTCGCTAGGCTTTGAGACACAACCGTTATAACATCACAATACACGCTTAAGAAGTTGTTTTCTACCGTGAATCACTGATCATGTCAGTCTGACTGAGACTTATCTCACTTATCTCTTATCTCAGGCGTTTTCTTTCTCCAAAGATTGTGTGTTGAGTAACCTTTAATAAGGAACTAAATGATAGTGTAATGAAAATGTGATCGTAGCAAGAGTACAAAAATATACAAATTCATCCGCTATTTCTGTTGTAGTGATGTCCGATTTGTTCGTTTGAGTCGGATCTTTTCATTGAACAGATTCGTTCACTTATCGCTCTGGGGTGCGTTTCCCAAAAGTATCTATGGTCGCAAGCTCCGTCGTTACCAATAGAGTTCAATGGAAGCAATGGAGCTTTAGGAAAAGGCACCCCTGAACGATTCTGTAACCTGTTCGATTGAATCGATCCGGCGGTTTTCGATTCACTGAACCGAGAATTGTCTCTTCTGAACATACTGACTCGTAATAAACGGACAACCGACGAATTCATTTATTAAAAACCTTTATTAAATCTTCTCAAATAACAAACAGGCATTATCATTGTTAAGTACAATAAATCCACTCAAAATACATTAAAAATATATTTTAAAATTAAGTAATTATTTGTAGTTAATAATATATCTTATTACATATATCTTTATTGTATTTTGCTTATATATCAAAATAAAAGCAAATTTTAACAACTTAAAGGGCATTTATTAATAATAATAATAAGCAGCAAGTAATTTCAAGTCATTCCTTTTTCAGCTGCTTTAAGGACTTTCCAAATCATTTTTAAATGCAACAAAATTTGGATTTCAGAAAGGCGGGGCATAGAGGAGAAACAATAATGTACAGTATGTGGAAAATAATGTGTTTTTTTTAACCTTAAACCGCATAAACACATTTCATTACACCAATACACAAAATAATGTTCTTTTTAGCAGCATCATATGACCCCTTTAACAAATTTACATTTGTGTAAATACAACTTACCGCTAAGCAAAATATTATTCTACAAAACTTCTTCCTCTTTGTTTTGCATAAAACAACAAACTTAATAATATGGTAAGCAAGACCAGGCCAAATTGAGGCTTTAACCAAATTATATTTTTTTTGGGATGAATTGAATCATTGCTTCATTAACTGAAGTGTGACACATGAAATTACAATAAACACCCTTAAATAATAAAACAATATCAAAAATCATGCTAAAAAGCAATATGTGCCTAATGTGGCTAGGATGTCAGAGACCAAAAATCATGACATTTGCATGTTTGCTTAAGTTTCTAATTCTATATGCTTGGCATATAATGCAAAGCTAGGTAGCGTAATTATGATGATGTTTTTAACTGACTCTTTGAGGCCAATTGTTCGAAAGAACCGATTCACAGAAACAACTCAGGCTTCCCATGACAAGATGCAAACGATTAGCAGTAGTGACATTTTTGCATGTACAATCAGCTTTGAATTATATGCCAAGCATATAGAATTAGAAACCTGAGCAAACATGCAAATGTCAAGAGGCTGTGAACTTTTAAAAACTTTTAATGTGGATGGATGGTTGGTCATATTGTGTTTTTTTGTGCGTGTGTGCGCTATATGAATTGACTACATGTACTTGCTATAATGTTAAGGTTATTAGTGTGTGAAATAATGCATAATTTACTAATATTACTATAGTAAATGTAACTAGGGCACTTTAAAATGAAGTGTTACCCTGTTTGCATTTAAAGTGCTGTTGCTGCAAAATCAATTATACACTTTTGTTTAGATTGAATGATTTAATGCCTCTCACACATCCTTAAAAAGAAAAAAAAAGAGATTTTCTTTTCTTTTTCCAGACCGATCCTACATGAGACTGACAGAAAAAGAGAATGAAACATTACCTATAGATGTAAGTTGCAATCAGCTACAAGACACTGATCACATTGAATCGCATGCATTTGTTGTTTTCCTCAATACAGCTTCTCTTGTGTTGTTTTCAGATAGTGTTACAGACTTTGTTATCGTTTGTGATCACATGTTACGGCATAGTTCACATCTCAGGCGAATTCAAAGACATGGATGCTTCTTCAGAGCTCAAAAACAAGTAAGCACATGCAGATGTGTTTTTCTGAGATCATAAAGTAACACCTGGCTGTATCAGAAATATGCTGTTCCTGATGATACATTATAAGCTGTCTTGTGTCTCTTTTGCTCTTAACAGGACATTTGACACATTGAGAAATCACCCGTCTTTCTACCTGTTCAATCACCGAGGCCGAGTACTCTTCTGCCCTCCAGAGCAAGAGCCCTCCACTCCCAGCGCCCAGGCCTTGCCCTCCAATCCCCTGCGGTTACGCAAGCTGGAAAATTATCATTGAGACTTGCCTTCAGTAGGCTGCCTTGCCCTGTTTCCTTTTTTTTTTTCTTTCTTAAATTAATTTGTTAGCTCCTCGGTTGAAAGGGAAAATAAGCATATTTTCCTGTCTATGTATATGTGAATATGCTGTACAAACATGCATCTATTGTGGTTACTATTTTGTCAATGGACTGTGCCAACTCCTTTTCCAGCTGATATGTTTGTAAATACTTATTGCTTGGGAGTCTTAAGTCTGTAGGTTACAGCTGTAGCTCTCTGCTTGGCTGTCGCACGCAGGGCACGAATCCTACCATGTACATTGTCGGTTTGCCACGTTTTTTGGCTGAACTGACCCTAACTGCAACCGGTTCTTCCCTGTCCCTGTCTGAATTGAGGTCAATATTATGGATCATAAATTGTATTAGTGTTCAGAAGCGGAAGCTTTGATTACTGAACTTCAAATTTGAGCTCATAATACTGAAAGTGATTAAAACTATTAAAACATGTCTGAGCAAGGCCACAATAGATTGTAGAATAATAGCAATTCTAACAATACTGTGAACACTCAGTGGGAATGAATGGTACATTTTGTTTTTTGAGGAGGAGGAGGGGAGGGGGCAATGTTTTCTGATTTATTTCATGTTGAGACAACTCCTTATTTTTACCTTAATAAAAGCTCAAATTTTCTTGATGAATTGGCAATTTGGATGAAATCCAGATTTTTTTTGCTTCTTTATTTTGTAATTGCAGTCTATTATGATATCTGAAGACCTGCTAACCCACTAAAAAGTTTTTATTTTGTGCTATAAACAGTTTTATGTGTGGATCTGGAGCATTCATGGACATGTATGGTTGTGGTAAATCAACCTGGTTATCCATTGTTTTCCGTGTAAGTAGAGAATGGCCAGTTGAAATGGTCCGGTTTAAGCCTGTAATTATACTAATCTTTCACTAAGCCACTTTTTTTCTTTTTTTTTTTGTGCTAGAGGAGACCTGCTAAGTACCAGCAATGGCAACCCCCTTATCCCAGCATTGTTTAGTCTGCTCTTCTGGTATTAATTGCAGCTTATGTGACATTGTTTTAAACATGGAGATCATATTTCCTTTCCATATTTTGTGGGATAATGCTTGTTTGTTGTCCGTATGACTTTAGAGTAGTTGCATTGCTGTAGTTTTACTTTGATATTAACATGAATCAAACACTGAGGTTGAAAGTCTTAGCTAGGCTAACATTTTAGGCTGTTATCTATAATTGGTCAAAGGTTTGATCATTTCTACAGCTTTATTTAGAGTTGTAGTTGTGGCAAGATGTCTCCGTTTGCATCATAAGTGCTTGTTAGTTTTGATTTGCAATGGCTGATTCACTGCAGGGTGCAATGTTGTAACATTGCAGTATCATTGTGAGGCTGATAAAAAATTACTTTTTTATTATGTGGTATATACTAGATCAGGGATAGGCAATGTCGGTCCTGCAGTGTTTAGCTCCAACCCTAATCAAACACACCTGAACAAGCTAGTCAATGTCTTCAGGATTACTAAAAAGGCTACAGGCAGGTGAGTTTTTTTCAGGGTTGTAGGAGCTTGCTTAGTTGGGGACACTTCATTTCCAGCGATATCGTTGATTTGATTGCAAATGATTGCAAAGATACTATTTAAACTGAACTGAGCTGGATGATGACATCACTGAATTCAATGATGAACTGCCTTTAACTGAAAAATTAGTTTACTATTGTCATTTTGCATTATTGACACACTATTTTCCTAATTAATGCTGTTCAGTTGCTTTGACACAATCTGTATTGTTAAAAGCGCTATATAAATAAAGGTGACTCCAGGACCGATGTTGCCTATCCCTGCACTAGATTATAGTATCTATTGTGATGGGAAAATTAGTAAGTTCAGGAGACAGCAACATGTGGTGCAAGATCCCATAATAGACAATCAGGTCTATTAATAACGTGAGAGATACAGGTGTTAGAAGAGACAAGGTAACCAAATGCAGGACATTGTAAAAATATGACAAGATGGAAACCAGCCCATTTCAAGATTGGAGTGAGAACAGCTGCTTACAGGGTTACATGCTTGTAGTGTTTGGGATTTTAAGAATAAGCCTATAGACTTGAAAGATAAAGAAAAACAGTATAAAATCAAAAAATCTTGTACGCAGATCACCTATACTTCAACCAAAGCACAATTCATTTCAAACACTTAAGGGTGTTCTGTGCAAAATATCCACATTAAAGACAGCTTTATACAATATACATACACTACCTTTCAAAAGTTTGGGGGTGAGTATTTTTTTAAAGTCTCTTATACCCTATACTGTATCAAAAATACTGTAATATTGTGAAATATTAATACAATTTAATATTTTAAAATGTATTAATTTAAGCAGCCATTACTCCAGTCTTCAGTGTCACATGATTCTTCAGGAATCATTCTAATATGCTGATCTGGTGCTCAACAAAGATATCGTATTAACAGTGTTGAAAACAGTTGGGCTGCTTAATATAATATTGGCAACCATGATTCATTTTATTTCAGGATTCTTTGATGAATAGAAAGTTCAAAATATCAGCATTTATTTGAAATAGAAATAATTTTTGTAATGTGTTTACTGTCACTTAATTTAATGCATTCTTGCTGAATAAAAATATTCATTCAAAAAATCTTATTGACCGCACATTACATAAAATTATGTACAAATTATATATAAAATTACACAATGCACACATTTTCTTTGTATTTTTTATTATTATTTTTCATTGTTTTCATTAAAAAAAATCATAAAACTTTGTCTATATAATATCAGTTTACAAAATGTTTTATACAAATCTTAAAATATTTTTTATGCTCTTGTAGCAATACCATCCAAAAATAATCTATATTATTTATGAACATTAAAAAGTAGTATACATCTGTTTTTAAAAATGAACAAAACATACAAGAATGGGGTCACTAATGTAAGTTGTGTCTGTGCAATGAAACCAAGCGCAGGATGACGAAAGATGTTATACTGGACAGAATCTAAACTCTGCTGTGGACCAGTTCATTTCACACCATAGCTGGCATTTCCCATTTGTGTGATGAGCCAAGCATGTTTCATTGGACACTATTGCTTATAGGACACTGAATGATGCTAATTTATGTGACATTACATATCACCACGAATATAACAACAGGCCAGCTATCAAATCTCATACTGAATCTCCAAAGTCATTGGGAAAAATCTGCATTAACTGTAAAAACGTGTTTTCCACAATTAAGGAGTAAAATTGAGCTTGCCGTACTTAAGATTGTAGGGTTATTGCTCTTGAGAAGGTCCAACTATGTTGTTAACCCCATTACTTGTGGGCATTTCATGCAAACACAAATCCATCATAGATTTTCCATACTATTATAAACTCTGAACTTTCCATTGATGCCAAATAACAGTGGACAGACATAATATATAAACATAATTCACGTGACAGATGCTGACCTCTGCCTCGGATGACCCTGTAAAATCACACAGTGGCTGAGGCTTGGCTTTTCTGGAGTGTGCTTATTCATCATTCATTATTTTATGGTTAAATTACGGTCATTATCAGGCCCGGAAAGCCTGCAAATTGACAGAAAACCCCCGTCAAACCTGGAGCGCCTCTCTCATTGTGAGCACTCTTTCAGAGTTGTGACACAATTCAGTAACTGGAAGCGCCTGGACCGGAGCGTGCGTGAGCCAGACAGGCCTCCATCCTCCCTAATTTACTCTCTCCCTCGCTACATCTCCTCATAAAGCACAGTACTGAGGCTGATGGGTCGGCCCGTGTGCTCAGTTGGCCTGCGCTGCTGCTTCTCTGTCATCTCGTGTGTGTCTCAGCCGTGAGATGTGACGTCTCACTATCTGCTGTGGACGTTGTTGAGTTGTGTGGGCAGCATCTGTCTGTCTTCAATCTCCTCCAGAGCGCTCTCCAGCTGCTGGATCAGCACACGCTTCTTAAACCTGAGAGAGAGAGACAGCTATTTAGCTGGATTACGTGGCATTATATTATATAATATATATGTTATTGTATAATATATAATAACATAAACATACTTTACATACTAACAAGTAACTTTGAGAAACAAAATAGCATATTATTACCAGCTTTCAGAGAATATGTCTTAAACATTTGTTTCTTTCTCCATTGACAATTTTTCTTTGAAGCATGAATATAACAACATTTAGTATATTCTTAAAAATACTTTTTATGCAAGTTTGCTTCAAAAGTAAATTTATTTTATTTAAGAATATTTAGGTACGTATACAAGACAAAATGACTGATTAAGATTTTTTTTTTGCAGTCTATCAATGAGCTTCTGTACTAACTTTGGAGAGAATTCTGTGAAATTTTATGATGCAGTGAATATTGGTACATTAATCTTTGAATTGAATTTTTTGGGGTTGATTTTATAATGCAGTCAGAAAGTAGGGGAGAGATGGGGAAAGTGAACATGAAGCAGGTGACCAGTGTTTTTATGTTTTTAATCATATATAATGCAATAAAATGATGAATGAGAGATGTACAAATCAATGTTTCTCAAAAGCCTGATGTATCATATTTGATACTCAGCAAAAAAAAAAAAAAAAAAAAAAAAAATAAAATAAAATATATATATATATATAAATATTAGATGCAAAACTTAGTTCACCCAAAACTTTGAATTCTGTCATCATTTACTCACTCTGAAGACTAAAGGAAATCTGTTCATCATTTAAAGTGATCACATCTTTCCACAAGACTTGGATTAAACCGCTTGATTCATATGGACAGGTTTTACGACACCTTTATGACCTTTTTCGGATCTTCTAAGTCTTGGTTACCTGGCCTTTCCGTACATAAATGTGGGGCGGAGCTATCAAAATAGGGGCAAGACCCTTTTGGGGTGGGGCGTGTTTGTTTTGGTGATTTCAGATATCAACATTGGCTACCAGAAATCCCTTACTCTGCCTTTAATTTGTGTTTCAATAATTAACCAAAATCTTATGGGTTTGGAACGACATGAGGGTGAGTAAACGATGACAGAATTTTCAAATTAGGGTGAACTATACCTTTAAGCTTTAACTTAGAAAACTTAAATTAAAATTACAAATGTTGCCTTGGCTACTAACTGAAATAAGACTAGTTTAAGTTGAAGTACTAAAATTACTGAAACTAAAAGTGAAATAAAAATAAATAAAAACTATATATATAACAATAAAAAAAGAAGCACAATAAAATTACTAAAATTGAAATGGAAGCTGAAAAGCACGTAGCGCAAATAACTAAAACATAAACTACAATTAAAATGACAACTGAAAACATTAAAAAAAATATTCAAAATATTAATAAATACTATAATATTTTATAAATAATACTAAAACAACACTGCAGGGGACATGTAGAAATATACTCGTTAAGCCCCGTTCGACACAATCCCATTCATTTCAATTTAGAGCTGGCGATTTCCGGCGACACGAGCGATAGCAAGCGACAGCGGGCGTTGGCGACCGAATGGGGCGTGTCCAGCGACGCAACAAAGTTCAGAATCCTTCAACTTTATCCAAATGAAGAGCGACTTTCGGGAGCGACAGCCAATAGGAAAGAAGACGGTAGAGCTCATGTGATCGTTCTCCTCTCAGCGCCGTAGATAAACATACGCAATGGAAGAAAGTAGGCTCTGTTTCTCATT